ATGTGAACTTCACTGTAGGTTACTAACTGCTTTTCTGTTGTTGCTCTTAAGATTCTCTCTTTATCTTTAACCTTTGTCATTTTAATTATGATGTGTCTTGGAGTGGTCCTCTTTGCATCCATCTTATTTGGGCCTCTCTGTACTTCCTGGACTTGCATGTCTATTTCCTTCACAAAATTAGGGAGGTTTTCTTTCATCTTTTCAAATAGATTCTTGCTCTTTCTCTTCTTCTTCGGGTACCTCTGCGATGTGAATGTTGGACCTTTAAAGTTGTCCCAGAGGCTATTTATACTATCCTCTTTTTTTGGATTCTTTTTTCTTCTTGTTGTTCTGATTGGTTGTTTTTTGTTTTCTTATGCTCCATATCATTGATTTGAATCGGATTCATCCACCCTATTGTTTTTTCATACAAATTGTTTTTTTATTTCAATAGTGTATCCTCCATTTTTGACTGGATCTTTTTTATGTTGTAAGGTCCTCACTAAGTTCCTTGAGCATCCTTATAACCAGTGTTTTAAACTCTGCATCTGGTAGATTGCTTATCTCTACTTCATTTAGCTCTTTTTCTGGATTTTTGATCTGTTCATTCATTTGAGCCATGTTTCTTTGTTTCCTCATTTTGGCAGCCTCCCTGTGTTTGTTTCTGTGTATTAGGTAGAGCTGCTTTGACTCAGTGTCTTGGTAGTGTGGCCTAATGTAGTAGGTATCCTGTAGGGTTCAGTGGCACAGCCTCCCCTATCACAGAAGCAGGGTACTTGAGGTGTGCCCTTTGTGTGGGCTGAGTATACCTACCTCTTGTACTTAAGCTTTGATTGCTGTTGGCCAACCAATGGGAGGGATTTACCCAAGCCAGTCATCTTTAAGGATTGGCTGTAACCACTTATCAAAAACTTCTGCCCTTCATGGAGGATCAGCTGTTCAGGGGCAGGGTGGTAGTGCTCCATTGTGGTCTGTAGCTGTCCTCTAGGTGCACTGGCCCTCAGATTTCCCAGGCGGTGCAGGCCAAGGTCAGTGTCCACCTGTGTTTTGCCTTAGGCCACCTTTCCTTCATTAGCTATGAAGCAATCTGAGATGGCTGCTACTTATGCTAAGTTTGGAGATTCCCAGACAAAACCAAGCTATGAATCTAGGCTGGCTGCTGCTAGTGATGGGCTTAGGACTTATTGAGGCCCGCTGTTGCTTGTTTGAGAGGATTTAGGAAGGTGTAAAACATGAGCAAAGACCAGCCATCATATGGAAAAAACACTGTTAACAGCTTTGGTGGGCCCCTAAGTTGGGTGGGTCAGAGTCCTTGGGTGTCTCTAGTTGAGTCAAAAAGTGGTGTCCAAGCTGATGGAGTTTCAGATATATCACCAGGTTGCTGGCTCTGTGGGGGGAGGGTTTAAAAAAAGGGACAATGGCCTCTGCTTGCCTTGATGCCAGACACTTCAGTTTCTCCCTGTGTGCCCCTGGTGCCTTTCAAGCTGCTACCCCAGTGCTAGAACTCAGAGGGAGTGAATCTGAGTAGGTGAGTCTGTGTGTGGGTTCTTTAAGAGGAATGGCTTCAGGCTCCAGAATTTTCTTCCACCAACTCAATCCCCCCCATTGGTTTTTGCAGCTAGAAGTTGCTGCAAAACTTCTTGGGGACTTATCTTCTTGGCACTGGAACCCTAGGCTGGGAGGTCTGTTGTGGGACTGGGATTCTTTGGACCTGAGATACCCCACCACATGTGAATGAGGGACCAGTCCATTGTGTGTCTGCACCCCTCCTACCAATTTGGATGGATGTGGTTTCTTTAATTCTGTAGTTGTCAGACTTCGATTCAACTTGATTTCTGACCATTCCGAGTGATGGTTGTTCTATATTTTGGTTGTAATTTTGATGTGGTTGTGCGAAGAAGCGAGCCATGTCTGCCTACATCTCCATCCTGACCAGAAGTCTCTATCCTCTCTTAAATGTGGCAGCCTGTGTGTATTTCTCTGTGATCTGCTTGAAGTTATTCTGCACAACTGGTTTATTTTTATATAGGCTAATAAAACAAATAACTGTAAGGTCCTGGGAGGAAGGAATGTCCTTTTATTTCTTTATATTCCCTTTGTGCTTTATATCAGAATTTCATTCAGTTGCAAGTAACAGAAATCTGAAAAGTAATGGCTGGAACATATCAGGATTTATATCATCATGTAAAGTAAGTCTTATTTACTCTGACCACACTCTGGTTACAGCAGCTCTGCCAGTCCTCACCAGCACCCACCAAGGTTCCTTCCCACTCTCTGCATCAGCGTCTCTAAAGAGTGGCCCTGCCTTTCCCCATGGCTGCTAGAGCTCCAGGTGCCACTTCTGTGTTCCAGGCAGCAGAACAGAGAAAGAGGAGGGAAGCTTACCCTTCCCTTTTTCAAAAGGAGACCTCCGAACATCTCACTCCCCTTCTAGTTCCATCTCATCACCCAGAACTTAGTTACATGACCATACCCAGTGCAAGGAGGGCTGGAGAATAAGGTCCTTCAGCCAGTTGATAATGGACCTGGTGAAAAATTGGATTCTATTACTAAGGAAGAAGTCAATGCATTTTTTATGATAATGGTGATAAAGTAGAGTATTGGCCAAAAGATGCCTCCCCCTCAGGAGCAGTTTAAAGAAATGAAAGTTTAAATTTAAGAGCTTAAGTGTCTTTGAAGCCTGAGATGATAGAGAGGTTCTGAAGGCAATTTACTCAGGGAAGAGGATTCATAGAACTCAGAGGTCATTTCATGACCTTTTTTTTTAAACATTGAAAGTATTTCTTGGATTATGTTATTCCAGAAGTATACCTGCTAATTTTGAAATTTTGGAAAAAGAAGAAAATAATATCCTCTACTCCGTAGAGATAGCCCTAATTAACATTTGGTGTGCTTCATTCTCTTCTCTTCCATGCATAATTAATTTTTAACAAGTTACAAAATCCTCTTGCTGTTTTTGACAGTGTTTTAGCTGCGTTTTTCAAAAACAATTCATTGAAAAGTCTTCCTTCCACCATTGTCCCTTGTCCAGTCCCCTGCCCCGTGATCACTGCTCATGGTAGCATGTAATATCACATCCGACTTTATTTTTTGCACACTTTAACAAATGCAAACTGTCACAGTCCCCACGACACATTTTGCACAAACGCCAGCCCGCCATGCACACTGTCTCTCACCTTGTTTTTGTCACTGGCCCTTTGCTTTGCACCTTGCTTTTTGCCAGGTCAACACAGAACTTCCCTCCCCAGCCTTCCAGCTCTCCTCCCTATGGAGGCTCCCCATCCAGTAACAGCTCCCTGGTGATGGGCGGGCGCTGGGGTTGTTTCCAATCTTTTGCTATTACTAAGGAAAAACAGCCTTTGGTGTGTCTCATTTGCATACATTAGCATATTCACAGAACAAATTTCTATAAGTAAAATTGTTGGGTCAAATGCATTTATAATTTCAACAGGTATTGCTGAATTGCTCTCCACATTGATTGTAGCAGTTTAGCCTCCTCTTAGCGATACATGTATGTGTTTCTTGTTTCCTATATGGCCTCATTGAAAGTATATTTTCAAGCCTTTGGACTTTTGCCCGTATGGTAAATTTTTAAAAAATCTATCGCTTTATTATGAGGAAGGTTGAGTCATTTTGTGTATATGCGTATGTGTGTTTTAATTTCTATCTTATTAGTGTTCCTGCCCAGTGCTTTATCTTTCAAAAGCATTAACCTATGAGATCTCTGGGCATGCAGTGGTCCACGTGGCTGTGAATGTAAGAAAGCTGTACCCCTCAGCTGAACAGTCTCGATGTTTCCCTGCATCTCACCCCTGGCAAGCGGGCCAGTTGCATTCTACCTAAATGTTTATTCATGCTTTTGATGGTTTATACCCTGCCTTATTTCTAAGATATTTTAGGTAAGAAAATAGGAATAAAGGGAAAATAAGAGTTAAAAAATGACATTAAGAAAAGGCAGGATTAAGCTACAGGTAAGGTCAGTACAACCAAATGTACTTCGCATTTGCTAAAGGCAGCTCAGAGGTTTGGCCAAGGCAAAGAGAGAAGCTGGAGTTCAAGCCATCTCTCCAGTGGCTTTTCTGAGCCTATAATAGACGCAATGGAAATACACTAGGCACGGAGAGTGAATGGAGGGAAGACATTCCTTTTTCTCTTGGCCTTGTGCCCCACGCTCGGGTGCCCTATGCAGTTGGAACAGCAGAGGCAGCCAGAGGACTGGGAGGAAGGGGGTCCGGCTGATGGGAAGAGAAGAGGGGAAGAGCTGGGTAGTAAGGAAAACTGAGGAGAGACATGGAGGAATATTCTCAGAAAGTGCAGCAATGAGGGGCAGCTGCCTCCAAATATGACTTAAGTGTGTGTAGGTTATTCGGGTCACAGAAAAGGAAAGCATTTAGCATTATTTATCAAAAGTTCAACTATTGTGCTGAAATGGTTATAGTACCATGTGGCCTGCCTTCTCCTAAGCCTTGACCTTGGTCAAATTCCTTTTTGGCACTGTGGCTTCTTTTTCTGGCCAAGTTGTAGTTAGAGTTGAACTCTATAGAGGAAGGAGGGGTTGCTTCGGATTTGAATAGCAACAAAACATTGTAGGAAAACATTCGCATTCCTAGCAGAGGGACAATGTTCAGGAAAAACGAGACCATCTATATGTCTGTATCAAATGGCAACACTTTGCTTTCCCATGCACTTCACACATAAAATTATCACTTTATATCTTCATTGAAAAACTAGTCATTCTATGATTATAGCTCTGGTAAGAGAGATTTGCTTGTAGGAGGGAGTATATGAAACAACAACTAGTGCCAAAAGGTCTACATTTGTTAATTTAGTCTCTCTGCAGGGTGAAATTTTACCCAAAACCCCAATGTTGTTATAATTGCCTTTTCACATACAAAATCATAGATAGTGCTCAGTATCAAAATAAACTTGTTTTGTTTCATTTGGTGCAGATAAAGCCATTCCTTTCCACAGGCAACCCAAACAAACCCTGTTACTGACGGCACAATGTTTTGTCTTTCCAGGCGTCCTACAAGCCGTTGCTAAAGCAGGTTGTGGAGGAAATATTTAATCCCGAAAGGCCAGATCCGGTTGATATTGAACATATGTCTTCAGGCCTCACTGATCTCCTTAAAACTGGATTTAGCATGTTCATGAAGGTAAAGTAACCACGAAGGGGTCGTCCTGGATGTAATGCTGTCTTCGCTGGGCGTGACGATGCTGACAGGACACGCCCCTCGCCTGTCGAGGGCCACAGAAGATGCGGTCCAGTATTTTGGCTCTTCCGAAATCACGGGCCATCCTTATTTAATTTTTGGTTAAAAGTAGCCAGACCTTTCAGCCTCCTACAGCCTCTTTCGATCTAAGCGCTGTGATCTTTTCTGATCACTGTGTAAAGACCCAAGCCCTCCAGGATGGCACTATTGAAAATGTTTCTCTTCCTGGCCCAATTTTCACTCAACATGAATCCGTATACTCGTATGTTGTTCTTGATGAATGAGAATCTGTTATTAATTGTAGAAGTTATTATGTAAGATAATGACTCACTCTGCTCAGTCATAGGATTAGCATCACCCCAAAACCCATTTAAAAAGGACTTTGGTTTGGACCCTACAGACTCCCAGTTGACAAGTGCTAGAATTTCCCTGGCTGATATTGAGGGTAGGTCAAAATTACTGCTCAGCCTTTGCAGTGGGGATGAAAGGAGGAAAAGTACGCAGATGCAATCTATTTTTAACCCACTATAAAGTTTCTGAATTTAAAAGGATGTAAACAAGATTACAGGCTGACCTCCCAGTCCATGCCAGGATTTCAGTTGCAATAACTCTTGGAAATAACAGAATGTTTTGCCAACTTCAAAGTATCTTTGAAATCATGAATTAATCTACATAGAAGAGCTGGCCTTTCCGAGTTCAGTAAGGACATATGCCCAGAAAACTGGTCCGCTCCAAGGCCAGAGGACAGACGCCAGACAGCAGTCAGACTCTTAAGCAAAACAGTTAACGGCTGGAATGGACATGTAGGTCTCCTTCCTGCTGTTCCCAGTTATCAACTTCTGTTGCAGTGCGTGGCTGGTGTGTTTTTTCGTCTATGTGTGTGTGTGCTTTAAATAGCACAGCACAGATCAGCTTCTCAAAGGTGTTCAGGAGCTCCTGTGTTGAGTGTAAGCCCAGGGTGGTTCTGTAGCCCTTCATGATGGTTGGTTTGTACCAAAATTTCTAGGCCAGCCATGGTCTCAAACCTTTTCCACTTGAGTACCCTATCCCTCATTTGTAAGCTTGGACTTCACCCTGAAGAGAGACTAATTAACAAATGTGGACTTTCAGGCCCTGGTCAGTAAGGTCTGAGGATGGCCCAGATGGCCGTGTGACCTTCCCCAGTTGGGTTGCTCCAGCCCTGGTCTGGCCAAGGGCACACACGGAGCTCTAACCTACCTGCGCTCTGCTCCCCACGCAAGTTTCTCACTTGCAGAGAGGCACAGGTACAGCACATGGGAGGAGGCCCTGACTGTGCTCTTTGTCCAGTGATGCTCCACTGATGCTCCACCAGAAGAACTTGGTTCTTGGCCAAAGGATCTGTGACCAAGTATGTTTGAGAAATACTAGGTTGAACAGCAAAGTAATGCAAAAGTCTGTGCTGCTGGCTTCTCAGTGCCTTCGGTGTGCTAACGGCATTGCGGCTCTGCAGGGCTCATAGGGTCTGCCACGGGAGGGCTGCCCATTCATGTTTTCCATCCCTGTCTCATGAGCCACGAGGCATCAGATTTCAAAATGACCGTTTTCAATGCTACTGAGTGTTTTCCGCAGCTCTTCCTGTGTCTGCAACTTCAGTGTCCCAAGGTGGGCTTTGCTTAGGAGGGTGAGGACCATCCTGGGCCAGCACTGCACTGCTGTGCTTCTCCCATCCAAACCTCTAGAGTCAGGGGCATAAAGAAATGCTCCCACACCTTAAGACGAACCTCAAAGCAAGGTTTCCAAGTTGTGCATGTATGAAAAAAGAATTTGCTTTCTCCCAGCAGCTGTCAGGATCCATTTCTCAGCCCCCAGCTGCCGGGCCTCTGTTCTCAGTAGCCAGGGGCCTCTCATCTGTCTGCAGGGGGTGGGGAGAGACTGGGGGGCTGGCCAATGGGCCTTCCCATCCCAATGCTCCGATGGAGAGTCATTCTGTTTTGTTTCTGCATGTGCCTTGTCTGGCTCTTCCCACTGTTCCACAGAACTTGGCAGGGAGAGTCATCTCTGGCCCAGGTGTTCAGGATTCCAACAAAACTGGAATAAACATAAAGAGGAACAACCAATAGGGCTTTGAGCAACTAACTATGGTTTCCCGAAGAGCTCCATCTTTGAGATGGAGGTGGGGCCATCAGCAGAGGGTGTCTCTAGTCACTTTAAGACCAGTGGAGGGAAGAAGATGCGGGACACACGTGGAATCTCATGTGGCCACGGCTATTTACTGTCCCCCTGGTCCTGTTCTCCATTGTTTCTCACTTGCTGCCCAAAGTTTTGCAGCTCCTTTGTGCTCCGCATATATCATGGGATCAGCCGTTCCCATATTTAAGCCTCACGCCAATCCTAGGAGGTCGGTTCTGTTGTTATCTCTGCTTTAGCAATGGGGAAACTGAGGCCCAGACAGGGTAAACAGTAGATGTGAACTTCCAGGAAGCCAGGATCGCCTTGCACCCTTCTCTTTTCTCAGGTGTTTTCCAAAGAGCACACAGGAGAGATGGGACCCCGAGATTTGTCCCCAGGTTGGTCTTATTCAAAAGCTTATGTTTTTTACCACACTTTTTGGCTCTAGGATGCTTTTAAGCATTTTCTTGGCAGTTAAGTATTCATATGTCATCAATTCTTTTGAAAGAAAAAAGACAGAGCCTGATGAAACGAAGGCGTCCATGTGGGATCCTTCCCTTGCTCAGGGAACTCAGAGCTGTAGAGCTGCACGGGGGGCTGAGCTACTGGTCTGTCCCTGTCCCGTCTGTGACAGTGTCACAGACGATGTTAGCGCAGGCCACCCAGAGGCAGTATCTGTAGTCTGTGGGGTGGACGAGGGTGGGTTGAGGAGCTGGTCAGAGATGTGCTAGGAAGTGGGGCCGGCAGACATGCCCACAGGCTGAGCCACAAGGCATATGTCCACAGCACGTAATAGAGAGAACGTAAAGAAGGATTTGCCAGGCCCCTAACAACATCCTCTTCGGGGCTCTATACCTTTTGTATACACTTCTCTGAGTCCATCCATGCATTGTTTTGTAATGATGCACGTTAGGTATCTTTTCCCAGACTAGTGTTTTCCAACTGTACAACATGATCCATGGTACATTAGGGATAAAGGTATCAATTCAGTGGATTGTAATCAGCATTTTTTAATGAGAAAAGAAGAGAACAGACTAGCAAGGTGAAAAAAAATAACATATTCACACATATACTTTAATACATTCTTGCAATTGGTCACGGTCAAAACAATGGAAAAGCTCTGGCTATGAGATTGAAGGGCTGATCTAGGTCTATTATTTTTTCTGCATTGTCAGCCTGTAGGGCCAAGTCCCAGATAGGCTGTATATCCAGCAGGCATGCACTGATGGTCAGGAGGGCGGTCCCAGTGGCCACCTTTCTGACCTTAAGCCAACTTTCCAACTTTCTGCCCTTAAGCCAAAAGTTCCATTTCAACAACTTCACAGGGCACAGCAGCTCCATCAGCCAACTCCAGTGACCCTCAGAGGAATCCCTGACCCACTTTTCCAGCTGCTGTTAAGCTAGGTGAAGCTGGTCATTTTTCCGTCATTATGTAACCCCCGAGACACAGCAGCCACTTGCTCCCATTCACCACGGTGCTCCCAGGTGCGTGAGGGAGACAGAAGCCTGACTCTATGTCTGTCAAGGAAACTGGATGGTCTTTTCTCTTGTCCACATGCAGCGTGCGGATCTTTTTTCCCCAAGGTCCTTGTCAGCAGAGCGAGTGGCGCTGGTTTAGTAGTGTGAGAACTCAAAGGACTCGAGAGGAGAAACATCCAAACAGATGGTTCGGTAGCGAGATGAGTGTTACCGGGGGAGACAGGGGGCCTCTTCTCTGTTTGACATCTGTAATGTTTTTGTTTGGCTTTGTGAATAATGGAAGACCATCTAGTATATGCTGCCTGATGGCAGTATACACTTTATTCTGCTCCCTGTATCTGCTTCCAGGAGGCAGTAGGGAACAGTGGTCACACGCCTGTCTGGGTTGGACCTTGAGCTCCACCACGTGCTAGCTGTGTGACTCGGGTGCATCATTTAACCTCTCTGTGCCTCAGTTTCCTCATCTGTGAAGTGGGGATAATACTAGTACTTACTCTATGGTGCTGTTATGAGAATTAAATGGCGAGTTAATACATATGGAGCACTCAGAACAGTGCCTGGCCTACAGTAAGTGCTGGTTAAGTAGTTCCTATTCTTATTTTTCCGAGATTGTGATCCTGGCCAGACCACAACTCTTAAAAAAAAGTCCACCTTGGGTATCTTAGTGCCTCTGTGCACAGCTAGCCCTCGGGCATTTGGTGTACACAGACCGACTGCTGGCTGACCCAGTGGTTCACATAGCAGAGGACATACACCCAAGAGTTTCTCGTTTCGCTGTTGATTTGCTGTTGCCAGAGAGACGTGGAGTTCAAAGAGTTCTTTTTTGCAACGCTGGTGGAAAGTCATGTTTATAATGCTGTGATATGTTTCTCCACACCCCCCTTTCTTCTCTACTGTGTGTCCCCAGTCTTGGGACGTAACCTGCCCCTCCTTGGGCAAAGCTGTAAGGAGCTATTGAAACTCCCTACGTGTACCATAAGAAGATGGTTGAAGGGAATAGAGGCCAGGGGACCAGACCCTGGCCACTCAGGACACAGACCCCACCGGGAACACTCCAGAAACATGGTCTCCCTGTGCCGGGAGAGAGCTCTGCCCCACCAGCCTTCGCTGTTGCCCCTTACAGACTCCACGCTGCAGGGGACTGGAGGCCTCCATCCCAGACTCTTGGAAGTAGCTCACAGAAATCAATCTTATTCATGTAAATGTCTGCAGACAGGAAAAGTTTTCTTTTCTTTTTTTTTTTTTTTTAATGCCTGTGTGTCTAAGCTTCTCTGCAACAAATACATCCTCTGGGAGAGGGAGTCAGGGCAGCCGCATCTTGTTCTCACAAAGTC